TCAGGAGCGTCATTTCTCGTGGCACATAAATTGCCTGGAAATGTTGGCGGTGTTCCGCGCTCTGCGGAGCTTTCTGCCCGACCTCCGATGTTGCCACGTCCTCGTCAGGACCGACAATACGGCAGTGGTGGCCTATTTGAATCACCAGGGGGGCCAGAGGCTGCATCTGTATGTGTTTCTGTATATGGCTGCATCTGAATGTGTTTCCCCCAGTCGCTCTGCTCCCGGGGGTTCTGGAGCGAGTCCGTCAGGACGGTGTCAGCCTACTGTTATTAGCCCCGTTTTGGCCGGCCCGAGTGTGGTTCTCGGACTGAGGAGGGACCTGCTGTCTCAGGCGGAGGGCCGGGTCTTTCACCCTTGCTCCGCCCTGTGGAGGCTGTGGGTCTGGCCCCTGAGAGGGCACAGTTCCTTGAGGCGGGCCTGACGGCAGGAGCGGTCGAGACTCTGCTCAGCTCCAGAGCTCCATCCACGAGGAGGACGTACGGCCTGAAGTGGAACGTGTTTTACACCTGGTGTAGAGAACGGGTGGTGAACCCAGTTACCTGCCCAGTAATTGCGGTACTGGAGTTCCTCCAGCACCGTTTCTTTGCTGGCCTTTCCCCATCCACGCTCAAGCTGTACGTGGCTGCTATTACGGCTCTCTGAGGGAGGGGTCCTTGGGGAGGCTCCCGCTGGTCGTGAGCTTCCTCTGTGGAGCCCGGAGGATGAGACCCGTGACTCGCTCCAGGATTCCCACCTGGTGGTTCTCAAAGTATGGCGGAGGCCCCCTTCGAACCCCTGGAGTCGGCTGAGGCCAAGCACCTGACCCTTAAGATGGCCTTTCACCTAGCTATCACCTCTCTGAGGAGGGTGGGGGACCTCCATTTCTCCCGTGGAAGGTCAAGGCTGTCTTGCACCCCTGTCCGGACTACGTCCCCAAGGTACTGTCCAGTATGGCGGGGTCTACGGTGTTGCAGGCGTTTCATCCCCACCTCATGTGACAGCAGAGGACGGGAGACTTCATCTGCTCTGCCCTGCCAGGGCACTGAGTATTTACACTCTGAGGTCCTCCTGGTGGAGGAAAGCAGACCAGTTGCTAGTGTGTTTTGGGTCCCCCAAGGCTGGGCTCCCCGCTTCTAAACACACTATCAGCAACTGGATAGTTCAGGCTATTTCCCTGGCCTATCAGGTGCGCGGTTTGCCTTCACCTATGGCCGTGAGGGCCCACTCTACTAGAGGCATGGCGGCCTCTAGGGCCCTCCTCTCAGGGGCTTCTCTTCGGAATGTGTGTGAGACAGCTGGCTGGGCCACTCCGCACACGTTCATCAGATTTTACATTCTGGACCTTCCTTCTTCCGCACCTTAGCGCTCTCCTCTTAGACGTGCCTACAGGTCACTGCACGCTGGGGGAGGCGGAGGCTTTTGACGTGGAATAGTGGGTATCTCGTTCACATAGTGTCGTCACTGACGCAGTTCGAGTTCCCTCGAAGGGGAACGAGACACTGCGTTGGTCCGCCACGCCTTGCCCCGCCTGGAGCGCCTTGCTTCATAGCAAAGAGCTGGTTTGTCCTGTGTGCCGGCGTGCTTTATATGCCTCCAGTTACGCCGTCCCACGCTATCGTTCGAGCAATGCCAATAGGATTGGAGTAGTTTTATTCATAATTCAGCCCTGCCACGCCTAGAGGCGTTCCCAAGTGTCGTCACCGACGCAGTGTCTTGTTTTCAAACTTCAAACCCATTTATGTTGATGATCTAGCTCATCTTAATTACATTTAATCAGGCACCGCCATCTACTGCAGTTTTATCAAGTGTAACACACAAAGCAACACAAATCGGACACATTAAATATCAAAATCAATATTTTTCCCATATTATTCTGTTTTTAAACGGATTTTTATTTTAAAACGGAACATCCCCCCCCCCAAAGAAATGACTGTTTTTTTGTTTTTTTTTTTCGATTCGGTTTTGAAATGAAATAATCAAAGAACGAACCGGAACCACGTGTCTTCCATAGGTTTAAAACAAATTGACACAGACCTCTTCATTCTTGAATTCAAAAAGCAATAATGGTTTTCGTGTTTTGATTCTGACAACAAAAACGGTTATTTAGGTTTTGTTTCAAAATAACAGACTAATTTATTTTTGTTTTTGAATTACAAATGAATAACCAATCCAATGATACTCAGACTGCTTAGGACATCTAGGACTATCCTACTGACTGTTCCAAGAGTTACAACAAAACACAGTGCAGCGGCATTCTGTGTTCATGCAAATACTGTCCTGGAATAACATCTTAGTTAATATCAACATATAAACCGAAAAAGTTATTTTACACCGCCTACTCCAACATGTAACATCTGAAAACCTTACATCTTAATTTACAGCCTTAACTTATTGTTCTTAATTTAATGAAATGGTGCATCTAAACGTGAGGGCATTTGGTGTGTTAGTACTAGTTTACACTTACACTTTACACTAGTTTTCATCTTTTACCTTTGCTGTATTTTTGTACCCCATAAAGCAAATTGGCCTAGTGTATGAAATTTGCTAAACAAATAAAGTTGCCTTGCTTTTTGATGGTAGGAATGTGCAAACTCTTCAGGACATTTTTTAAGAAAAAAAAGTCATGTACTAGATGTAATTTGCCAAAACAACAGCCAACACAAGTATGTTTTAGCATTTACCTCATTGGCTTTCAGTGGAAAAAACAGGTCTGTGCTAACCACAAAAAACTTCAAAAGGAAATTAACACTTAGTGACACTTGCACAATTTCCTGACTCCAAACCACAGTTAAACTGACAGCGATGAATCCTGTAGATTACTCGCCTGAGGTTGTTCCATTGAAGGGGAGGTTTGATGGGCTCCATGGATAGCCTGGAGGAACTACAGTGGTTTACTGAACCACTATAGTTCCTCCAGGAACATCAGTACTACAAACATCACTACTGAGCCCCCCAGAGCCACATCATCTGGTCCCTCTGCTGCTTTGCTACTCAAACCCATGCTGCCTCGGACTTGTAGCTCTCATCTTCTCTGTCAAGGCGAGATTATGTGGAACAGTTCTGAATTGCTGGTTAAGTAGATCAGTCATGTGCAAATCTTCTCTTATTGCCTGTTAAATAAAATTTAACAAAAGAGTTTAGAAAATCTTGTATCATTATTATGTGAGGGTGGGGAATCAAAAGCTTTTGCAGGAGATTATGAGATCTAGCCTATGCTCAACACTAGGATCTGAAGTCCCCTTGAGGTTGAGCATAACTATAAATCTACTTTTAAAATCAGTGTGCTTTGGTCCTTTCAGGCCAGGAACCTGAACGTGGCTGAAACTCGGGATGGTTCTCGACACTACAGCTCCACTGCCCTCTGCCTCAACATCCAACTTTCCATTATTATAATCATAGTGGTGGCCGAACAGGCAAAAGCAGCACACAGATATATTCAGACACAATTTAAATTTTTTTATTCTAGACTTTGTTATCAAATTCAGATTTCCTTCTCTTGTCTGTCTTGTCTCCGGCTTCCTCCCACCATCCAAAAACATGTGGACTAGGTTGATTGGTGACCCTAAATTGTCCTTCGGTGTGAGTGTGAACGTGAGTGGTTGTTCGTCTATGTGTGGCCCTGCGATGGACTGGCGACCTGTCCAGGGTGTATGAATCTGATGATTTTTAATTAAATTCTGTATCATCACTAGACAATAGAGTAAATGTACTCTTAGGGACCCTTTCTTGAAATACACTAATGTCCTACCTCCAGATATAAGCCAATATCCCTTATTAAACACCACAGAAAGAGATGTAGAAATAGAAAAAAACATTTTGACCTATTCTTCTCTCAGCTGTTTGTAGTACAATGATGTTTACTCAATATAAGGAAAACATCCGAAATATGTTTTAGTCTACATATTCTGATCTAAAAATTGTTGAATTAATAATTAAAAAATGAAACGAGTCAGCACCAAAGCTTTGCTGGTTCCCTCTTTCCAAATGAATACACACATTTAAAAAAGGTACCCTGTGGCGATTTTGACTGCTAGTAGCACTATATGAAGCAATGTGTTTACAAATGGGTCCCAGTTATGAGGATACACATGTGGGAGAGCATGCTGAAATGCATTCAACACAACTCACAAAACGCTATAGTTTATGTTTCCTTACACAAAGAGAGGAGAATTCTTGTTTCAGTGTTAATTTGAAGTGGTCAAGACAGTGGTTTGTATGATAACATATTTATCATTTACAGTTTTTCACAATTGCTTAAACACTATTAGCAGGCTTTGAACTAAAATTTCAAAACCATAACTCCTTTTATCAAAAAGCACACAAAGACAATAGGCTTCACGAATGGACCAATGAGCAAACTCTATGTGCAGGTTGTACTCATGGGAGTTGTAGTGTCGTAGTGTCAAATTGCAATTTGCTTATTTCAGATGCATTTTGAAGAGACTACAATCTTTTAACATGTCAAAGTTGCTAGTGGGAGTGACTGTGTTACCCGCCATGCTGAAATCCACCTGAATTTGGTGGGTCTGTTATGAGCTTATTTTTGGGTTATGTTTGTGTTGTATTTTTCCCTGTGTGTTTCTGGTTTTACCATTGTTTCATTTGTCTATCTATTTGCCTTAGTTCCATGTTTAAGTGTTTTCCTGATCTGTATACTTCTGTGTTTTATCATTATGGTCTGTGTCCTAGTCCTTAGTCTTATATTTCCATGTTTTAGTGTAGTCTTGTCTCCTGTTTGGTCCTGTCTCTGTCCGTGCCCTGATTTTCCATGTCTTTCCATGTTTTGGTGTTTTACTTTGGTAGATCTGTCCTTGTGTGTTCCTGTGAACTTTACTTCCTGTTTTATTTTGGTAACCCTCTGTACCTGGTGTCCTTGTCTAGCTTTGTTTGATTACCTGATGTATCTCAGCTGTGCAGCCCTCCCTGCTCGTTTACCAGTGTGTATATATTGTCCTCAGTTGTCTTCAGTCTTTGTCACGTCCTTGCATCTAGTGTTCCTGCCTGTTCCTTTGTTTCCCTGTTCTGGCTTATTCGCTGTGTTTTTGGAACCCCTTTGTGTTTTCTGGATTACCTTTGTTTGGACTTTGCCTTGAGCTCTATGGAAGTTTTGCTGAATAAATCTTTTGTTTGAACTGCATCCTCCTCTTGCCTTGCCATTGTCTGCACTCAGCGCTCCCCGTGACCAGGTCGGTTGGTGTTAATGTCAAGCCTTACATGCATGCACTTCAACTATGTTCTCAGTCACTCCAGCAGTAGCACAACCTGCAGATCACTCCTTGTTTATCCAGTACGTTCTTCTGTTTATTTTTATTTGGTACTAGACTTAGTGTTATTAAAACATTTTGGATAACAGCTTGGTACATTTACATGCAGCACATTGCAATACAAATCCAGTCAATTTATCTGAAGCGTTACAAGGAGCAGGGAACTACAGGAGATGCGTCATTTAAAATAAAGAGGTCATTCTTTGCTACAGACTCAATTCTGACATGACCACCTTTGATTTTATTTGTCAGCTTCTACATTTATGTTGACTGTATGTTTATCTACGTGTAGCACCTGTGTAAAACACTACTTGGCAATAAAGCTCCTTCTGATTAACAATTGTCCTGATGCTGTCTGAAAATGGGCACATTCTTAATTTATTTCTTACTTAATTTTAATTTATTTTGAACATTGTAGAGTTCAAATGGAATGTGACTTTTTTTTTTTTTTGTTGAAGATTTCACCTACACTGATGTTTTGCAGATTAGGATGTTTCTCCTGTTTTGCATCCTTTGCCTGATGCCTCCAAGTGGCTACAGTCAGCTCAGTGGTCCACCTGGTTCACCTGGTCCACCTGGTCGACATGGTCCATCTGGTCCCAAAGGTGAACGTGGATTTACTGGGCCAGCGGGTATGTAATACTCACTATCCAAAGTCCTAGGATCATTCTTTCTGGACAGATTCCTGTCATCTTTTTGTCTGAATTCTTGCACCCCCTATGTCCAAGGCAGTTTCGAGAGAGATTGCAGGATTGTCATTAAAAACAATCTGCAATGATCCTCTGAGGTCAGCTTCCTTGTTCAGTTTCTTTATTTGGCTCACTGTGTCAGCTGTGATGGTCAGACTGTCAACTTCATAAACATTTCAAAATGTACAGGAAGGATTGACATCCCATGCTGGGAAAAATATTCAAAAATGAGGATGATTGGCCAAACTACATTGGGCCAGTCTGTCATCTGCAGTCTCACTCAGGCAACACATATAGGGAAGACTGACATTCAATGGATCCTTTCAGGCTCCCCAGAGGATAAACCTTTTTTGACTTAGGTAACCTTCAGCCCTCTGAGAATAGCAAAAGATGTCTCAATTTTTGGGTTTTCAAGTAGAAAACAAACATTATAGCCTGATGGGGCTACTAGTGAGACGATGGATTTTTAATATTTTTGTCTTTCTCTGCTCTTCTGGGATCATAGGACCTCCTGGAGTTCCTGGACCTGCTGTAATCTGTGGACGAGGTTATATATATTCTAGATTTTAAAAAAATTACTTTCACCAGCTGGGTAACAACTGTTATTTAATAAATTGCAGGATGCAGCAGTAGTACAACTTGCGGGCAAACTTCATATCGTCATTGTGGTTAAGTATAGATGGATACACAAAGGGTGGACATCCAAAGAAACACTTGTACAGTGTATCCTAGTTTAGTTACAATAACAATTCTACTTGGTTTTTAAAGCTAGTGTTTTTCCTTGAGGCAGAGTCCAAGAGATTATTTCAACTCTTTGATCCCATAGTTTGTAAATGTAAAGGTAAATGTCACAAATTTCCCTCATAAAGATCAGCCATACGTTTGGGAGGGGATTTCAATGGTAGAAAGAGAAGATGACTAGAAATGTAATCAGACACATAGGGTCTGATTAAATATGCTATTGAGCTGCATTAAGGGAAATTAATTCAGTATTTCTGACCTATGGAATCAAACTCCACCTCTGCTTCTTTTGACCCATTTTCTGTTAAACAGTTCAATTGTTTAAACACTAACCAGTCTATTGAACTAAAATTTCAAAACCATAACTCTACACACAAATCCCGTCAACACAAACAGTCAAAATTGATAATACATCAATCAGAACCTTCAAAGATGGATAAAAGGGCCAGAGTGGGTTTGTTCAGTTTTGGAACAATGGATCCAGGCATAATTTCAAGTAATGTGTTTAAGCAATCGAGAAACTGTAAATTGGTGCCCTGGGCTACTACAGTTTATCTCAAACACACAATACTATAGTCTCTCACACTGGTGAGAAATAACCAGTTTTTTAGTTGTATTGTTAATAAGCAATGTTGCTTGTCTTTCTCCCCCTTTATAAACCTTTTCACATGAACATAACAGACACAACAAATGTAAGCACTTGCACTTTTTTAAAATTCCATAATGTACAGTATAATTCACCATTAAACACATTAAAAAAAATTTAAAAAACATTCTGCCCCAGCATCATATCTTTGGTCTGAGAAAGGCCAGAGAATCTCATCCACCTCTTTTTTTCCTCACCCAACTTCTCCTCCTCCTCTCAGGTGTCCTCTACCTCTTCCTTCACTTCTTTCTGGATCCATTGTTCCAAAGTGGCTGAACTGATTCTGGTCCTTTTATCTATCTAGTGAAGGTTCTGATTGGTGTGTTATCAATTTTGACTGTTTGTGTTTCCACCTGGGTAGTTTGTTGCTACTTGAGCTCTTTTTGATAAATGGAGTTGCGTTGTGTGTGTGTTGTGTGTGTTTTTTTTTTTTTTTTTTTTTTTTTTCAAATTTCACTTCAAAAGCCTGGTTATAGCATTTAAGCAATTGAAAACCTGTAAAAGTAGCCCTTCAAAACAACACTAACAGTTACTTTTTATTGTTGAATAATCTGTCTATATTTTATATTGTTTGAGCCAATTAATCATTCAATCTGCATTCAGTTTGAGTCACTTAATTCACGGCACATACGCCTACGTGTCTAAAGTGTGCAAAACTATCATTGAGTGTGTTCAGAGAAGGAAAAAAAAATAGAGATAACTTTGTGTGTAAGCAGTTGTGTAAAAAAAACAAAAAACTATCTTGACATGTCACACTTTTTTTTTTTTTTTTTTTTTTTTGAAACCTCTCACTCAAATAGCAAAACCTCAACTTCAACCTCCAAAATGTCATAAGCTATTTCTCAGCCTTTCACTCAGTTTTCAATTGCATAAAATACTCTTTTCAAAAAACTACACACAATTCTCTAAGACACAAACAGGAAGTGACTTGATTTCTTTTTCCAAACACAACCAATGAAAATGCTACACTTCTTCACCAGGTCACATACCCACTCCTCACATGCGCAAACACTAACTGATCACTAACCATGACTGCTTTAGTGTACAGTAGATCTATACATAGGTCAAAGGTCAGATTAAACAATGGATGATGGAACAGTGGATGCCAACAATGGATAGAGAGCAGGGGGAGTAGGAGGGAGAGGCGGAAGACGACGAGGACAAGTTCAAGGAGGAAGAGTTGGAGGAAGAGGAGGGCAAAGAAGAGAAGGAGAGCCATTACTGATGAGATCAGCGTCACACTTACTGATCATGTGATCAACCACAGGTTGACAATGAGAACAGCTGGACTGGAAAGCCCAACTTCCTGCCTGTACATTAGCATCCATAATTTGGACCTTCAGAAATTAGAACAGGTTTCAGCAATCTAATGGTTATTTCAGCAGTACAGTATTTTTGGCATAAAAGTAAAAATTATACTTTTGGTTTACATATGTTTATGGTTTAATTTTCTTGTATGCTACTGTATACAACACTGCTACTGTTACAACTGTAATTTCTTGCCAAATATCTTCTGTATCAACACTGTACTGGTGTTTATAGTGTACATTTCAGCCCATCTAAGATTACTTTCACTCTATAACATTGTATAGAAATGTACACATAAGCCTATTAAAGACAAAAGAGCTTTAGATTTAAAACAACAATGTGTAAATGGTATCCAAGGTGTTTGCCATCTGATGCCAATGCTTCATTTTGGGATAGGTTTATGGCATTTTGAATGTTTAATTTTAAAGGACATGAGACATTTTGCATTTTGTGTGTGCAGTTTTGGGAATTGTGTGTAGAGTTTTGAAAAAAGGAGAGAGTTTTGAAAATGTATGTAAGCAGTTGTAAAAAAAAAAAAAAGAAAACTGTCACAATGTGGACTCCAACTTACTGTCAGTTTGGTAACTAAACTTAATCTGTTTGATCCAGATGTGTTTGGCTCCATTAACCAGGACCTTGAAGCCTTAAAGAACAGCCTTGCTAAGTTAGAGCTGGGTAAGTATTGTATTCAAGCATTACAAGGGATTGTTACAGGAAATGAGTGCATATGGATGGAGACTGTATGTATTATAGCTATTTAAGGGACAGTTCTTAGTTAGATTTCTTGTAGGGTAAGCGGAGTGATTCTTGGCATCGTTAATCTTAATGTCTTTATCCATCCTGAAATGTTTTTCCAAAATGTTTATCTTGAAAAGCAGAGTCAAATGAACATATTTCACTTGTGTATGAAGCAAAAAGAAAGTCTGATATTTTAGTGTCAGAGGAAAAACAAACATGTAAAACAAAGTGTGTTTTGTCAAAGACTTCTCAACAGAGTTTGAGCCAGATGGCCAAGACGACAACACAAATTAGTTGGATGTAGAATTAATTCATTTATTCCTTGTTTGTTGTTTTTTTTTTGTTTTTTCTTCAGCTACAAACTATGTTTTTTTCCGGAGGGTTGGTCAGAAATACTTTGTGTCTAATAAGGAGAGAGGCTCTTTCTCTGGGGCCACAGAGTTCTGCTCCCAACGAGGCTTGGAGCTGGCTTTGCCCCAGAACGAGGAGGAGAACAGAGTACTGACTCAAGTGTTTGGGGATGTTGACAAAATGGCCTGGATCAACGTCAACAATAAAAAAGCAGAGGGGAATTTTGCAACAGATCTGAAAAATCGACCTCTGACCTTTACCAAATGGGGAGAAGGGCAGCCAGACAAATCCATCCAGGACACAGGCTGCACCATGCTGTCAGAAAATGGTGTTTGGCGAGTGACACACGAATGCTCCTTAAATGCTTACATCATTTGTCAGATATAGAAGGTTCTTATATCATTGCTCTTACTTCCACATGTAACACTCCCTAAATCATCATCATCAGCATGACATTATTACTGATGCAAAGACCTCTTCCTTTATGAAAAAGTATCAAAGTACATAATTAAAGGATATTATAAGAACAAGACAGGGTTCGAGACTATTTTCACTGGGAGCACTGTAGCCCCTAACTGAAAAGTTTAGGGAAACAGGCAGAAATTTTAGGGGCGCGAAACTTAAATTGACCTGTAACGCAATATTTCACATTTTCCCCATTTTAACTGTATTATTAATAAATGCTTTGGCAATAAATACAGAATACTGTTTTATTTTAGTTCAGTCCCATTTTAATTGAATGTTGCTTAACAAATGCACATACTGGAAGTGGCATTTGTGCATCTGTATCAGCATATTTTATGTTTTAAGCTGCTGTTGTGCTTCATTAAGGTGTCGTGTTTAAACTGTGCTGTCCCAGTTGCCTCAGCAAACTTGGTTGTCCCCCGCACATCTAATGAAGTAGATATGGTGTTGGTCTTGGTTATGTATACTCCCTCAATCAGGGCTGGACTGACACAATAATTCAGGCTGGGAATTTGATTCCATCCAAGGCCACCCTGTTCACGCAAACCACCATACCACTAATTTGGTTGACTAACCTATTTATTGATGTAACGGGTACCAAACTAGGCACAGAAATTTATCCAAGCTGTGCTGACCTGTTAAACCCCGGTTGCCCCGGCCTTTCTGTGTGGAGTTTACATGTTCTCCGTGCGTGGGTTTCCTCCAGGTGCTCCTCTTTCCCCCCAACACCAAAAAAAACATGTTTGGTTCTCCTATCAGTGGGTATCTCGTTCCCATAGTGTCGTCACTGACGCAGTTCGAGTTCCCTCGAAGGGGAACGAGACACTGCGTTGGTCCGCCACGCCTTGCCCCGCCTGGAGCGCCTTGCTTCATAGCAAAGAGCTGGTTTGTCCTGTGTGCCGGCGTGCTTTATATGCCTCCAGTTACGCCGTCCCACGCTATCGTTCGAGCAATGCCAATAGGATTGGAGTAGTTTCATTCATAATTCAGCCCTGCCACGCCTAGAGGCGTTCCCATAGTGTCGTCACCAACGCAGTGTCTTGTTTTTCAAACTACAAACCCACTTATGTTGATGATCTAGCTCATCTTAATTACATTTAATCAGGCACCGCCATCGCCCAAGTGTATCTACTGCAGTTTTATCAAGTGTAACACACAAAGCAACACAAATCGGACACATTAAATATCAAAATCAATATTTTCCCATATTATTCTGTTTTAAACAGATTTTTATGTTTTATTTTAAAACGGAACACCCCCCCCCCCCCAAAGAAACGACTGTTTTTTTTTCGATTCGGTTTTGAAATGAAATAATCGAAGAACGAACCGGACACCACGTGTCTTCCATAGGTTTAAAACAAATTGACACAGACCTCTTCATTCTTGAATTCAAAAAGCAATAATGGTTTTTCATGTTTTGATTCTGACAACAAAAACGGTTATTTAGGTTTTTGTTTCAAAATAACAGACTAATTTATTTTGTTTTTGAATTACAAATGAATAACCAATCCAATGATACTCAGACTGCTTAGGACATCTAGGACTATCCTACTGGCTGTTCCAAGAGTTACAACAAAACACAGTGAGCGGCATTCTGTGTTCATGCAAAATACTGTCCTGGAATAACATCTTAGTTAATATCAACATATAAACCGAAAAAGTTATTTTACACCGCCTACTCCAACATGTAACGTCTGAAAACCTTACATCTTAATTTACAGCCTTAACTTATTGTTCTTAATTTAATGAAATGGTGCATCTAAACGTGAGGGCATTTGGTGTGTTAGTACTAGTTTACGCTTACACTTTACACTAGTTTTCATCTTTTACCTTTGCTGTATTTTTGTACCCCATAAAGCAAATTGGCCTAGTGTATGAAATTTGCTAAACAAATAAAGTTGCCTTGCTTTTTGATGGACAGAATGTGCAAACTCTTCAGGACATTTTTTAAGAAAAAAAAGTCATGTACTAGATTTGCCAAAACAACAGCCAACACAAGTATGTTTTAGCATTTACCTCATTGGCTTTCAGTGGAAAAAACAGGTCTGTGCTAACCACAAAAAACTTCAAAAGGAAATTAACACTTAGTGACACAATTTCCTGACTCCAAACCACAGTTAAACTGACAGCGATGAATCCTGTAGATTACTCGCCTGAGGTTGTTCCATTGAAGGGGAGGTTTGATGGGCTCCATGGATAGCCTGGAGGAACTACAGTGGTTTACTGAACCACTATAGTTCCTCCAGGAACATCAGTACTACAAACATCACTACTGAGCCCCCCAGAGCCACATCATCTGGTCCCTCTGCTGCTTTGCCTACTCAAACCCATGCTGCCTCGGACTTGTAGCTCTCATCTTCTCTGTCAAGGCGAGATTATGTGGAACAGTTCTGAATTGCTGGTTAAGTAGGTCATGTGCAAATCTTCTCTTATTGCCTGTTAAATAAAATTTAACAAAAGAGTTTTAGAAAAATCTTGTATCATTATTATGTGAGGGTGGGGAATCAAAAGCTTTTGCAGGAGATTATGAGATCTAGCCTATGCTCAACACTAGGATCTGAAGTCCCCTTGAGGTTGAGCATAACTATAAATCTACTTTTAAAATCAGTGTGCTTTGGTCCTTTCAGGCCAGGAACCTGAACGTGGCTGAAACTCGGGATGGTTCTCGACACTACGGCTCCACTGCCCTCTGCCTCAACATCTGGGCCACAATCCTGGTTTCCATCATGATCTTTATTTCCATTATTATAATCATAGTGGTGGCCGAACAGGCAAAAGCAGCACACAGATATATTCAGACACAATTTAAATTTTTTTATTCTAGACTTTGTTATCAAATTCAGATTTCCTTCTCTTGTCTGTCTTGTCTCCGGCTTCCTCCCACCATCCAAAAACATGTGGACTAGGTTGATTGGTGACCCTAAATTGTCCTTCGGTGTGAGTGTGAACGTGAGTGGTTGTTCGTCTATGTGTGGCCCTGCGATGGACTGGCGACCTGTCCAGGGTGTATGAATCTGATGATTTTTAATTAAATTCTGTATCATCACTAGACAATAGAGTAAATGTACTCTTAGGGACCCTTTCTTGAAATACACTAATGTCCTACCTCCAGATATAAGCCAATATCCCTTATTAAACACCACAGAAAGAGATGTAGAAATAGAAAAAAACATTTTGACCTATTCTTCTCTCAGCTGTTTGTAGTACAATGATGTTTACTCAATATAAGGAAAACATCCGAAATATGTTTTAGTCTACATATTCTGATCTAAAAATTGTTGAATTAATAATTAAAAAATGAAACGAGTCAGCACCAAAGCTTTGCTGGTTCCCTCTTTCCAAATGAATACACACATTTAAAAAAGGTACCCTGTGGCGATTTTGACTGCTAGTAGCACTATATTAAGCAATGTGTTTACAAATAGGTCCCAGTTATGAGGATACACATGTGGGAGAGCATGCTGAAATGCATTCAACACAACTCACAAAACGCTATAGTTTATGTTTCCTTACACAAAGAGAGGAGAATTCTTGTTTCAGTGTTAATTTGAAGTGGTCAAGACAGTGGTTTGTATGATAACATATTTATCATTTACAGTTTTTCACAATTGCTTAAACACTATTAGCAGGCTTTTGAACTAAAATTTCAAAACCATAACTCCTTTTATCAAAAAGCACACAAAGACAATAGGCTTCACGAATGGACCAATGAGCAAACTCTATGTGCAGGTTGTACTCATGGGAGTTGTAGTGTCGTAGTGTCAAATTGCAATTTGCTTATTTCAGATGCATTTTGAAGAGACTACAATCTTTTAACATGTCAAAGTTGCTAGTGGGAGTGACTGTGTTACCCGCCATTGCTGAAATCCACCTGAATTTGGTGGGTCTGTTATGAGCTTATTTTTGGGTTATGTTTGTGTTGTATTTTTCCCTGTGTGTTTCTGGTTTTACCATTGTTTCATTTGTCTATCTATTTGCCTTAGTTCCATGTTTAAGTGTTTTCCTGATCTGTATACTTCTGTGTTTTATCATTATGGTCTGTGTCCTAGTCCTTAGTCTTATATTTCCATGTTTTAGTGTAGTCTTGTCTCCTGTTTGGTCCTGTCTCTGTCCGTGCCCTGATTTTCCATGTCTTTCCATGTTTTGGTGTTTTACTTTGGTAGATCTGTCCTTGTGTGTTCCTGTGAACTTTACTTCCTGTTTTATTTTGGTAACCCTCTGTACCTGGTGTCCTTGTCTAGCTTTGTTTGATTACCTGATGTATCTCAGCTGTGCAGCCCTCCCTGCTCGTTTACCAGTGTGTATATATTGTCCTCAGTTGTCTTCAGTCTTTGTCACGTCCTTGCATCTAGTGTTCCTGCCTGTTCCTTTGTTCTCCCTGTTCTGGATTATTCGCTGTGTTTTTGGAACCCCTTTGTGTTTTCTGGATTACCTTTGTTTGGACTTTGCCTTGAGCTTTATGGAAGTTTAGCTGAATAAATCTTTTGTTTGAACTGCATCCTCCTCTTGCCTTGCCATTGTCTGCACTCAGCGCTCCCCGTGACCAGGTCGGTTGGTGTTAATGTCAAGCCTTACATGCATGCACTTCAACTATGTTCTCAGTCACTCCAGCAGTAGCACAACCTGCAGATCACTCCTTGTTTATCCAGTAAGTTCTTCTGTTTATTTTTATTTGGTACTAGACTTAGTGTTATTAAAACATTTTGGATAACAGCTTGGTACATTTGCATGCAGCACATTGCAATACAAATCCAGTCAATTTATCTGAAGCGTTACAAGGAGCAGGGAACTACAGGAGATGCGTCATTTAAAATAAAGAGGTCATTCTTTGCTACAGACTCAATTCTGACATGACCACCTTTGATTTTATTTGTCAGCTTCTACATTTATGTTGACTGTATGTTTATCTACGTGTAGCACCTGTGTAAAACACTACTTGGCAATAAAGCTCCTTCTGATTAACAATTGTCCTGATGCTGTCTGAAAATGGGCACATTCTTAATTTATTTCTTACTTAATTTTAATTTATTTTGAACATTGTAGAGTTCAAATGGAATGTGACTTTTTTTTTTTTTTGAAGATTTCACCTACACTGATGTTTTGCAGATTAAGATGTTTCTCCTGTTTTGCATCCTTTGCCTGATGCCTCCAAGTGGCTACAGTCAGCTCAGTGGTCCACCTGGTCCACCTGGTCCACCTGGTATACCTGGTTTCACCTGGTCCATCTGGTCCCAAAGGTGATCGTGGATTTAGTGGGCGAGTGGGTATGTAATACTCACTATCCAAAGTCCTAGGATCATTCTTTCTGGACAGATTCCTGTCATCTTTTTGTCTGAATTCTTGCACCCCCTATGTCCAAGGCAGTTTCGAGAGAGATTGCAGGATTGTCATTAAAAACAATCTGCAATGATCCTCTGAGGTCAGCTTCCTTGTTCAGTTTCTTTATTTGGCTCACTGTGTCAGCTGTGATGGTCAGACTGTCAACTTCATAAACATTTCAAAATGTACAGGAAGGATTGACATCCCATGCTGGGAAAAATATTCAAAAATGAGGATGATTGGCCAAACTACATTGGGCCAGTCTGTCATCTGCAGTCTCACTCAGGCAACACATATAGGGAAGACTGACATTCAATGGATCCTTTCAGGCTCCCCAGAGGATAAACCTTTTTTGACTTAGGTAACCTTCAGCCTCTGAGAATAGCAAAAGATGTCTCAATTTTTGGGTTTTCAAGTAGAAAACAAACATTATAGCCTGATGGGGCTACTAGTGAGACGATGGATTTTTAATATTTTTGTCTTTCTCTGCTCTTCTGGGATCATAGGACCTCCTGGAGTTCCTGGACCTGCTGTAATCTGTGGACGAGGTTATATATATTCTAGATTTAAAAAAATTACTTTCACCAGCTGGGTAACAACTGTTATTTAATAAATTGCAGGATGCAGCAGTAGTACAACTTGAGGGCAAACTTCAATATCGTCATTGTGGTTAAGTATAGATGGATACACAAAGGGTGGACATCCAAAGAAACACTTGTACAGTGTATCCTAGTTTAGTTACAATAACAATTCTACTTGGTTTTTAAAGCTAGTGTTTTTCCTTGAGGCAGAGTCCAAGAGATTATTTCAACTCTTTGATCCCATAGTTTGTAAAGGTACATGTCACAAATTTCCCTCATAAAGATCAGCCATACGTTTGGGAGGGGATTTCAATGGTAGAAAGAGAAGATGACTAGAAATGTAATCAGACACATAGGGTCTGATTAAATATGCTATTGAGCTGCATTAAGGGAAATTAATTCAGTATTTCTGACCTATGGAATCAAACTCCACCTCTGCTTCTTTTGACCCATTTTCTGTTAAACAGTTCAATTGTTTAAACACTAACCAGTCTATTGAACTAAAATGTCAAAACCATAACTCTACACACAAATCCCGTCAACACAAACAGTCAAAATTGATAATACATCAATCAGAACCTTCAAAGATGGATAAAAGGGCCAGAGTGGGTTTGTTCAGTTTTGGAACAATGGATCCAGGCATAATTTCAAGTAATGTGTTTAAGCAATCGAGAAACTGTAAATTGGTGCCCTGGGCTACTACAGTTTATCTCAAACACACAATACTATAGTCTCTCACACTGGTGAGAAATAACCAGTTTTTTAGTTGTATTGTTAATAAGCAATGTTGCTTGTCTTTCTCCCCCTTTATAAACCTTTTCACATGAACATAACAGACACAACAAATGTAAGCACTTGTACTTTTTTTAAATTCCACAATGTACAGTATAATTCACCATTAAACACATTAAAAAAAATTTTTTTTTTGGTGTGTTATCAATTTTGACTGTTTGTTTCCACCTGGGTAGTTTGGTGCTACTTGAGCTCTTTTTGATAAATGGAGTTGTCGTTGTGTGTGTGTGTGTGTGTGTTGTTTTTTTTTTTTTTTTTTTTTTCAAATTTCACTTCAAAAGCCTGGTTATAGCATTTAAGCAATTGAAAACCTGTAAAAGTAGCCCTTCAAAACAACACTAACAGTTACTTTTTATTGTTGAATAATCTGTCTATATTTTTATATTGTTTGAGCCAATTAATCATTCAATCTGCATTCAGTTTGAGTCACTTAATTCACGGCACATACGCCTACGTGTCTAAAGTGTGCAAAACTATCATTGAGTGTGTTCAGAGAAGGGGAAAAAAAAATAGAGAGAACTTTGTGTGTAAGCAGTTGTAAAAAAAAAAAAAAGAAAACTGTCACAATGTGGACTCCAACTTACTGTCAGTTTGGTAACTAAACTTAATCTGTTTGATCCAGATGTGTTTGGCTCCATTAACCAGGACCTTGAAGCCTTAAAGAACAGCCTTGCTAAGTTAGAGCTGGGTAAGTATTGTATTCAAGCATTACAAGGGATTGTTACAGGAAATGAGTGCATATGGATGGAGACTGTATGTATTATAGCTATTTAAGGGACAGTTCTTAGTTAGATTTCTTGTAGGGTAAGCGGAGTGATTCTTGGCATCGTTAATCTTAATGTCTTTATCCATCCTGAAATGTTTTTCCAAAATGTTTATCTTGAAAAGCAGAGTCAAATGAACATATTTCACTTGTGTATGCAGCAAAAATAAAGTCTGATATTTTAGTGTCAGAGGAAAAACAAACATGTAAAACAAAGTGTGTTTTGTCAAAGACTTCTCAACAGAGTTTGAGCCAGATGGCCAAGACGACAACACAAATTAGTTGGATGTAGAATTAATTCATTTATTCCTTGTTTGTTGTTTTTTTTTTGTTTTTTCTTCAGCTACAAACTATGATTTTTTCCGGAGGGTTGGTCAGAAATACTTTGTGTCTAATAAGGAGAGAGGCTCTTTCTCTGGGGCCACAGAGTTCTGCTCCCAACGAGGCTTGGAGCTGGCTTTGCCCCAGAACGAGGAGGAGAACAGAATACTGACTCAAGTGTTTGGGGATGTTGACAAAATGGCCTGGATCAACGTCAACAATAAAAAAGCAGAGGGGAATTTTGCAACAGATCTGAAAAATCGACCTCTGACCTTTACCAAATGGGGAGAAGGGCAGCCAGACAAATCCATCCAGGACACAGGCTGCACCATGCTGTCAGAAAACGGTGTTTGGCGAGTGACACACGAATGCTCCTTAAATGCTTACATCATTTGTCAGATATAGAAAGTTCTTATATCATTGCTCTTACTTCCACATGTAACACTCCCTAAATCATCATCATCAGCATGACATTATTACTGATGCAAAGACCTCTTCCTTTATGAAAAAGTATCAAAGTACATAATTAAAGGATATTATAAGAACAAGACAGGGTTCGAGACTATTTTCACTGGGAGCACTGTAGCCCCTAACTGAAAAGTTTAGGGAAACAGGCAGAAATTTTAGGGGCGCGAAACTTAAATTGACCTGTAACGCAATATTTCACATTTTCCCCATTTTAACTGTATTATTAATAAATGCTTTGGCAATAAATACAGAATACTGTTTTATTTTAGTTCAGTCCCATTTTAATTGAATGTTGCTTAACAAATGCAAATACTGGAAGTGGCATTTGTGCATCTGTATCAGCATATTTTATGTTTTAAGCTGCTGTTGTGCTTCATTAAGGTGTCGTGTTTAAACTGTGCTGTCCCAGTTGCCTCAGCAAACTTGGTTGTCCCCCGCACATCTAATGAAGTAGATATGGTGTTGGTCTTGGTTATGTATACTCCCTCAATCAGGGCTGGACTGACACAATAATTCAGGCTGGGAATTTGATTCCATCCAAGGCCACCCTGTTCACGCAAACCACCATACCACTAATTTGGTTGACTAACCTATTTATTGATGTAACGGGTACCAAACTAGGCACAGAAATTTATCCAAGCTGTGCTGACCTGTTAAACCCCGGTTGCCCCGGCCTTTCTGTGTGGAGTTTACATGTTCTCCGTGTGTGGGTTTCCTCCAGGTGCGTGTTTGGTTCTCCTATCAGTGTTATTGACCTGACACTGGTATAAAGTTCTAGAGTTGGTCCCAAGGCAATGCACAGCGGCTGCCCCAATGCAGAGGATAAATTTTGCTACATGTATGTATATGTGGCAATAAAGAATCTTCTAATTCTAATTCTGCACACTCACACAAATACGCATACACATACTTGTTTGTGTTACCTTGAAAATATGTCTTGCTTGACAAGCAGAATTTTTAAAAGGAACAATTATTAAAATAAACAATCTTAATGACAATGTGATAATTAAGTTACTTTATACAAACAATGGTTCTCAGTTTGTTGAGAATAAAATTGGTATCAAAAAAAGTATTGTTCAGCAACTGGTATCGAAGTCGAGGTATTGTATCGATATCGAAAATTGAACGATACCCAGTCATTCAGTCGATAGCAACATTACCTTTACTGTCTGTACCTCTGTGTGTGTGTATTGTGTAGGCTGCCTCCCTCCCCTCTCTCTCTTGCCTTCTCTCTCTCTCACCCCCAACCAGTCGAGGCAGATGGCCGCCCACCCTAAGCCATAGTTCTGCTCGAGGTAAAATATGTAATATATAACTCTCAGGGAGAGTTGTAACACCAATTCCACCAAATAGAGACAAGATAGGAGTCAGGTGATCATTTCAGTATTTACCTACTTCCTCCCCAATCAGGCATGGTGGTTATCAAGTCTGGAAACAGGCATATTCACAATATATAGAGAAAAAACTGATTTTGAAGTATGAAAGTAAACGTTTTTGACCAAGACTATTTTTTGTTTAGTATCTATTCCATTGCAGATAGAACTGTTTGACTTATATTTGACTGAAATATAGTTTCTCAGGCAACATGTGATGCACTTTTTCCTTTCTAATTACAAACCACTGTGGTAATACAGCTAGCTAAACATTGTCTGACAGGGGTGGGGTGGGTTTTAACACTTCTTTAAAAAGTGTTACAACCATCCACAATACATAAAACTTCCCCCAAGAACGTACTGCACGCTCCTGACTTGAATCGGCGACCACGGGAGGCGGACATGCTGATGAGGAGGCTAAAACCCATGGGCACTACCGTCGATCGCCAGTGCTTCTCTTAAGGTGTCGGGGAGTGAGGTTTACTCACTGCACAGCCTTGCTTGCTTCCGTCACATATTGTCACTCAACCTTTTCCATACTCGGTCTCCGCCGATGGAGAGGGTAGAAAAACCTATGGGCAGCTTGTGAGAAGTGCCTGTGTGCAAGAAAGTCCCAGTACGCCAAAGAGTAAAATATAGAAGGGCTGGTATACGTACCGGTGAATACCGCCCACTTCAAGCACTGACTGTGACTCTGAATAAGAATATACACACATTGACACACACACACACACACCTACCTCTGTACAGAGATGTTCTTTAGTTAGGAACATTTTAGTAGTATTAATTAAGTATACTTTTAAGTAAGTTTATTCTATGGATAAATTTACATACACATATGTACATAATAATAATCTTTATTTGTAGAGCACTTTTCAAAAACAAGTTACAAAGTGCTTTAACAAGTGTAAAGACAATAATACCCCAAACACAATAATGCAAAAACAATACAAGATAAAAGCAAGAAAACATTTAAAAGACTAAAATACACGTTTAAGATAAATATGAAATAAGTAAAATAGAATTAAATAAAAGGGATAAAGTAAAGTCAAATAAAATCGGGAAAGGCTCTCCTATAAAAGTATGTTTTAAGAAGGGACTTAAAAGAGTTCACTGACTCAGCTGACCTTATTTCCTCGGGCAGGAAGCCTCGGGGCCCTGACAGCAAACGCTCTGTCCCCTTTAGTTTTCAGTCGAGACTCTGGAACAGATAGCAGACCTCTGCCTGAGGATCTCAAGGTACGTGCAGGTGTGTATGGGACTAAAAGGTCAGAAATATAACAAGGCGAGAAAGAGCTTTAAAAGTGAATAAATTTTTTAAAGTCAATTCTAAAACATACTGGGAGCCAGTATAATGAAGCTAAAATAGGGGTAATGTGGTCATATTTCTTTGTTCTGGTTAAAAGCCTGGCAGCTGAGTTCTGGACAGTCTGGAGTCGATCAGTAGATTTTTGGGATAAACAAGTGAAAAGGCTGTTGCAATAATCCAGGCGTGATGAGATGAAGGCGTGTAAAATGGTCTCGGTGTCCTTAAAAGTTAACATAGATCGAATTTTTGCTATATTTCTAAGTTGATAAAAACATGATTGATCAAGCTTTGTGGTGTGCTGCTCGAGATTTAAATTACTATCAAACCAGACACCAAGGTTCTTTGCAACAGGCTTAATGTGATTTACTAGAGAACCAGCAGATGGCAGTATTTGTTTTGCTATCTGCTGAGACCTGATGACCAGGATTTCTGTTTTATCTGAGTTCAGCTGGAGGAAATTGTTTGACATCTATTTTTTAACTTCAAAAAGGCAGTTGGTAAGTGAACTCAGCATTCCAGGGTCTGTGGATCTGACGGGCAAGTATATTTGTGTGTCATCAGCATAAATATGAAAAGAAATGCCATGTTTATGGATAATATGTCCAAGGGGAAGCAGATACAAGGAAAACAAAATGGGTCCTAAGACCGACCCCTGAGGCACACCACATTTAACTGGACAGAACGAGGAGACATAGGTGTTTACAGACACGCAAAACTTCCTATTTGACAGGTAGGATGAAAACCATTCTAGGGCAGTACCAGAGATCCCCACCCAGTGCCTTAGTCTGTCTAACATGATGGTGTCAAAAGAAGCGCTAAGGTCCAGGAGTACCAGGACTGAGCACATACCTTCATCAACAGACATTAAAAGTTCATTGGTGACTTTAAGCAGGGCAGTCTCAGTGCTGTGGTACTTCCTGAAACCAGACTGAAACTTTTCAAATATTTTGTTAATTTCCAGTACAGTGAGCAGCTGTTTGGACACAATTCTTTCTAGAATCTTTGCAATAAAAGGCAGTTTTGAAATTGGTCTAAAATTTTGATGGAGGGAAGAAACCTGGTTTAGATCCCAACCAGGTTTCTTTAAAAGTGGGTTCACGCAAGCCTTTTTAAAATAATCAGGGACACAACCAATAGATAGGGAGCGGTTAAAAACGAAAAGATCAAATGGGGCCCAACAGAATCCATTACTTTCAGTAAAAACTTTGTAGGTATTACATCAAGTGGGCTGGAGGACACTCTCATTTGTGATACTGTTTTTAAAAGCTCAGACAAGTCGATGGGATAAAACTGGTTAAAACTCTCCTGTTGCTGGTGAGGGACCTCTGAGTAAGAGGCCGCGGGGTAATACAGTCTCTGATTGACACCACCTTTTTGGTAAAATAAAAAACAATTCACAGTCATCATTACTTCCAGCTGAGGCACAAGGAGGGGTTGGGTTTACCAGCTGATCCACAGTCTTAAACAGAGACCTGGGATTGTTTTTATGTGTAGTAATGAGTTGAGAAAAATAGTGTGTTCTCGCATCCTTAACCATGTTGTTGTAGTTAGATAATAAATCCTTCAGACTGAGGTAATGGACTTGGAGACTGGATTTTTTCCATCTGCGCTCTGCTTTCCTGCATTCCCTTTTTAGTCTGCGAATGCTGTCATTTATCCAGGGTTGCTTACTAGCTTTAGACGTAGGCCTAACCTTTAGAGGAGCAGTAATATTTAGTGACGACAAGCAGATATGATTGAAGTGATCAACCAGATTGTTGGTGTTGGAATCAGACAGGTGTTGGCTTTGGCTGTGGAAGAATGTGCAAAACTTTGAAACACTTCATTAAAAATGCGAGAACACACGGAGCTTGGTGTAAAAGTAAGTAAAAGGCGAATCGCAGCTAAAAACAATACATTTGTGATCAGATATGGTCATGTCCACTAATTCCACAGAGGAATCGCTGACACCCAGGGTAAAAACCAAGTCCAGTGTATGACCACGGTTATGTGTTTGCCCTTTGACATGTTGTTTGAAGTTAAAAGAAGTGGCCATATTTAAAAAGTCAGTTGCATTAACATTGTTGGGGTCATCAACATGAATATTAAAATTGCCACAAAGTACAGTTCTGTCATAATTTAAAACCAGAGTAGATAAAAATTCAGGAAGTTCTGATAACCAAGCGGTTTTGGGGGGCGATAAATTATAACAAATATGATAGGTTTCAGCCCGCCAACTTTACGACCACTGACCCTCGGTTGACTAAAACAATCATATTGAGGCAGACATAGTTCAGCTAGCTTGCTATAGTCATTCATTTGCTACCGGGATTCAGTTAAAAACACAAAGACAAGATAAAATCATTTAAGATAAAAGTCTTCCTTGACAGAGATCTCACATTGAAGAGAACCATTTTAAAT